TGAACATGGATGTCAATGAGGAGACCTCTGCACTCTAGGGGGCCCCTGGCAGTAGGATTAGTATTTTTCCCTGGTGTAAGAAGGGATTCTGAGAGCCCATCCCATGTGAAGGGATGCACTCTCAGCCTGGACAGATAGGGGAAAGCCTAGGCCCGGCCCTGGATGATGTGGTGGACTTTGGGGAGCCCCCATCAAGGGCTGTACCCTGCCTGGGGAGTGAGGGTGGATGGGGTGGGGAGTATGTCAGGGGTAGGGGGGAGTGGTGTGGAGAGGGGAGGGAGAGGGAGTAGGGTTGACATGTGAAACAAGCTTGTTCCTTTTGAACTAATAAAAAACTTACAGAAAAAAAAAAGATTGCATTTTTTTTTCTGCTGAGTAGTACTCCATTGTGTGAATGTACCACATTTTCTCTATCCATTCTTCAGTTGAGGGGCATCTAGGTTGCTTCCAGGTTCTGGCTATTAAAACAATGCTGCTATGAATGTGGTTGAACAGATGTCCCTGTTGTATGAATGTTCTTCTTTTGGGTATATGCCTGAGAGTGGAATTGCTGGATCTTGCTGTAGACTGATTCCCATTTTCCTGAGGAAGCTGCATACTGATTCAAGAATATGTTTACAGTAATTGTGTTCAGTTGCCAAAATCCAGAAGCAACCCAGTGATCATGCACAATAGTAAGAATAAATGTATCATTGAAAGACCCCCGCCCTTAGCTTTCTCTTTTAAGTTTTCCCGCATGCAGCTGGCGAATACATCCTCTCCTGCACCCCCTGACCCTTGATTCCCACAGCTGCCGGCACTTCCCTGCCGCCGCGCAAGGCCGGCCCCGGCCCCCGTCCCAAGGTCTCCGCCCCCAAGGTCAGCCACCTGGGCGCGGAGGGAGGAATCAAGTCTGTTGTACCAGACACCAGACCTTGAGAATATGCTGATCTGGAATGGCTCTGTGCCTCATTTGAACCATCAAATAGAATCCCTGCTCCTAGCTTGCGCCTTTTTCCCTATATAAGGACGCCTTTCCCTTGGGGCGGGCGCGCTTAGCCACACAGAAGCTAAGTCGCCCCAGGTACCTGCGTCTCCAATAAAGCCTCTTGTTTTTTTGCATCCAGTTCGTGGCCTCGCTGATTCCTGGGTGTGTG